GGGTATTGGGATGTGACCCTGCAGAGGGCATCACTCTGGCTTCCAGAGGCCATGCGGTAGCTGGACAGACTAACAGACTCCATTGTTCTAAAAATGCAATGCTAAGTGGTTTATGAGATAGAAATAAAGTGCCAGGCCTCTCAGCCTCTGAAAGGGGGCTCGGTGAGTTTTCTCAAGTATCAAAACCACATGATTCTGTGCTGTTCTGTGGAGCTGCTACCTCAAAACTCAACTTCAACCCAGCGCATTTCTCAGATGTTTTAGTCACTCATCTCCTCCCCACCAAAAAAAGAAAAAAAAATCACCATGGCAAAACCCAGAGTGTAGGCAGAGGACCAGGGTGTAGCTCAGCCTCTGGGACTCACTTTCCAGATGAGCCAGGGAAATGTTTGGGGGATCTATAAACACAGGAAACATATTCAGCTAAGTTGCCCAGTAACACAGGGGCATGTAATGGCAGTCTCTCATTAATGACACCCACACAGATGGGCCCCAGGCTCTGCTGCTCTTGCTGCCTCCTCATTGTGCTCCTCAGCATAGCTGTCCTGCCCCAGAGGGGAGCACTCTTCTCCACCATGCACCAAGCACTTGTCCATGAGCACTCTGCCTCTGCTGCCCATGGCCTCTTGCCCACAGCCCACCTTCTGAGTTGGACCCAAGGTCCTGCAACTGGGAGTCCACACCACAAGCCATTTTACACCCCAACACCCAGCTCAGTGGCCTTCGTGTAAGAACCACTCAATAAATCTCCGCTGATTGGCCACAGCTGCATTTTAAAATCCAATGATGGAGAAATGTGGTAAGGGGACACATTGAATATAGGCTGGGGAGAGTTTGGGTTCGTTGTCATCGGTTTCATTTGTTCAGTGGATATTCAGAAGTGCCCTGGGCTCACAGAATCACATGGTCTCTGCTTTTTAAGAGCTAACTGCCCCCAGTCCAAAGGCAGAAAGAAGGCAGAGAGGTAAACCACACAATATACGCTGAAATGAATCAGGGAGAGGTTAAGTACCAGCATGGAAGTAGGAGAGAGAATACGTTGGGGAAGGCTGTCAAAATGCAAAGTCTTGAGTTGACATCCCATCACTTGCGTGATTTTAGCCTCTCTGGGCCTCAGCTTTCTCATTGATAAAATGGGAATAATTAAGTCTAGTTCAGAGAGTTGTTGTGAGAATTAAATGTTACCATGTATAAGAAATGTTTCAGGCAATAACTGGCCAGTAACTTACTAAATAATAAACTTACTAAAAATTATTACTATTAATGCCACACACTATGGTTTCAAAACTTCCTAACTGTGCTACCTTAATCATAATGATGTCCATTTTCCACGCCTCAGTCTCCTCATCTGCAAACTGGGATAATAATAGCACCTGCATGGTAGGGATTTTTATTAGGGTTAAATGCAAATATTATGAGTTTGGATGATGGGTGAGATATTATATAAAGTATTTAGAATACTCCCTACCAAATAGTGAATGCTTAACAAACCTTGATTTTTTTTTTTTTACTGAACATCCTGTTTTATGTAACCTCACCCTTTTGAAAATATGCATATACTATCAGCAGAAGGGCAGAAAGAGTGGGAGACTACAAATTGCAATTTTTTTTCAGGCTGTCGATGACACGTTAGGTGAAAGGTTTCCCAATACCTCCACAAGGATCATTAGTGCTAATTAGATGAAATAAAACATCTTTAAAAGTTTCCTCACACTAGAATCGCTGCGGAGGCAATCATTCTGTGGGGACTGAAAAATCTCAGAAAGTGAAACTGGAGAGAACAAAGCAGAAGAAAATGAAATCAGAGCAGAAAGCCCTCTGCTGGTTGAGAAGAAAACTACAAGCATTGGCCTCATTGTCACCCAGGGAGATGTGGCCAGGGTAGGGTGGCTCTCAGGCAGAGCAGAGGTGCTGAGGGCCTCTCTCCTGTGGTTCTTTCTGTGTAGTTTGGTCACGTGCCGAACCAAACAAGGAGAAAGGGAAGGAGAGAGGAAACAGGGAAGGAAAAAGAAAGAAGAGACCCACAGAGACACAAAAAAAGCAAAAAAGAAAAAGAATTCAGAGCCCTGAACCACTAGATTGTTGACATCTGAAATCAGGTCATGTGCAAATTTTATGTAAACAAAATACACTCTACAATTCCTACTTGTTTCTCGGTACAGAATGCAGAGCCTGTGTGGAGAGGTCAAGGGCTCCCACTCCTCAAAGGTCCACCCACCGCGGGACCTTTCCTTGTCCCAGTGCATCAGGGCCTGAGGAGAGTCAGGATCCCCCTGCTGAGGTGGAAGCATCTTCTACGCAGGCCCTGCTACCCCCACAGCCCACTTCCCATCTAAAGCGGGCCCATGGCCAACGGGTTGTCAGGCAGACTGAAGTTCCTCTAACCCCCACCCTGGAAGGCTGGGCTCAGTGAGAGGTTCTTCTCCTGGTGTCAGAAAGAGTCAGCCCAGGGGCTGGCACAGATGGCGGGAGTTGGTCCAGGAGGAACTTTGTGTGCCATGGTGGGGCTGGGGCTGGACAGGAAGCCCCACCACATCCCACTTCCTCCATCTGCACCCAAACAAGGCCAGTGTGACTCCAGCATGTGTGAAGATGCAAACAAACATGAATGCCCAAAAGAGACAGGAAGAGGGATCCCCAAGAGTGTGTGTGTTGGGGGAGAGGGGGGACGCGAGAGAAGAGGCATGGAAAGAAAGACAAAGAAAAAGAAACCAGCCAGTACATGCAAACCTGATTTTAAAGAGAAGCTGATCCTAAACCAGGCCCATCCCCTGGCTGAGCATCTGCTAACTTCAGACACTCTCTGGGGCATTCTGGTTTCCATGGAGCTGGGGAATGCCCTGAGAGACCAGCCAGATCTTGGCCTGTCCAACGCCCCCTTGTGTGCCCATAATGTGGGAGCTACTGTCTGTCAGGGATCCTTTGCTATTTCTGTTTTTTTTTTTTTTTTAATATATTTTATTGATTTTATACAGAGAGGAAGGGAGAGGGATTGAGAGCTGGAAACATCGATGAGAGAGAAACATCGATCAGCTGCCTCCTGCACACCCCCACCGGTGATGTGCCCACAACCAAGGTACATGGCCTTTGACCAGAATCGAACCTGGGACCCTTCAGTCCGCAGGACGACGCTCTATCCACTGAGCCAAACTGGTTTTGGCCTCCTTTGCTATTTCTATTTCTCTAACAGCTACCTCCCACCTTCTCATTAAAAAGACCACCCCATTTCTTTCGAAAATGTTCTCCCTGTGCCAGTATCTCTATTTTATCTCTCGGGCTGTTACTCCTGGCAGCCAAAGATTAGGGACAAAGGGGCACCCAGAGAACACTAAATGGCACCGACCACATTGCTTTAGAAGTTCGTTTTTGTTTTCCTCTTAAGTGCTCTGAAATCAAGGCATATGTGAAGTTCGCGTTGAATCTCTCTCTCTTTTTTTAATATATTTTATTAATATTTTACAGAGAGGAAGGGAGAGGGATAGAGAGCCAGAAACATTGATGAGAGAGAAACATCGACCAGCTGCCTCCTGCACACCCCCCACTGGGGATGTGCCCACAACCAAGGTACATGCCCCTGACCGGAATCGAGCCAGGGACCCCTCAGTCCGCAGACAGACGCTCTAACCATTGAGCAAAACCGGCCTCAGCCACATTGAATCTCTTTATAAAGCAGATGCACAGTTCTTTCAGGGCGGGAGGCAGGTAGATGCTTAACCTTCCATCAAAATAGTCCCCAAAGGACATAGTGGGAGAGGCTGATTTCAGGAACGAAGGAGTGACTAAGGGTTCACTGGGGCAATGGGAGTGAGCTCCCCAAATCAAAGGCGCACAGGATTTTTGTAGGTCTTGCATGAGCCTTTAAGTCACACACTTCCTTTGGCAATGACCCGCCAGTGCCTCCTCCTCCCCGTTTCCCATCCCCTGAGTATTGCTTTAAGTGCGTCATCCACAGACAATCCAATCCAATCCGGGAAGAACGGTCACCAGGAGGCCAAACAGTGGACACCAGCGCCAAGAACCATCACACGCAAAGGATGGACATACGGTCAATGTTGCCTCAATGGCCCCAGTTTGGAAAACTTTATTTAAAAAGGCACATTCCATCAAAGAGAATAGGGAAATCATTCTCCCCATCCATCTTCCCAGCTTCTACCTTAGGCTGACTCTCTCACCAAATTCCAGAGTGAGATTCCATGGCAATTGCCCCTGAGTGGAGTAGTTTGTAGGAAATCGAGTCAGCATTTCAGCAGGCACAAAACAGAACCAAGAGCCTCCTCCTCCTCCTCCTCTTTCTCCGATTCCTCCTCCTCCTCCAGTTGCTGTAAACCTTAGCCCCAGAGGCCAAGCAGGACCTGACTCAACACTGAACCTCAGCTCCTGCCCATAGATGACTTAGTGCTGGCGGACAACACCCAGAGCACCGTTACCCAGACAAACGCTGTTTCCCACAGACAAACCAGACGCCTCTCCACCACTTGGGTCTCAGAAAGCCATGCTCACTCGGGAAACGCATGCCCTCCTGCCCACCAGCTAGTGGCCTGGAGGCCCCCAAAACAGCCCCACAGCCAGGCCCGGGGCAAAACAGCAGCTCTGCCAGAGGTCAGGGCCCAGCTGGCAACTAACTCCTTGTGCCGTGGGCAGAGTGAGGGCACAGGAAGCCAGCCCCGTCCTTTGGGGCTCATTAACTTTAGAGAAGATGGTTCACCCCGAGCTCCATCCAGGCCCCGACCACCATGGCCACCAGCCTGGGAGTCCCATGGTCCTCAATCCTGGGGACTTGGTGGCCCAGCCACCCCCTCATGCCTCTCAAGCCTCGGACCACGGAAGCCAGTGTTGGGGAAACAGCTCTGAGAGGTCCCCATGACACTACCAACATCACATCAGCATCGCACCTGGCTCATCTGAGCTCTATTGCACACACTCACACCCCTCTCCCTCTCTGAGACCCCAGCCCCCTTTCCGAGTCAATGTCAAGTCACAGAAGAAATGCAGCTCCCTACCTGAGGGTGGCGCTCTCCCCCTGCCGGACCGTCACGTTGTCCATCGCTTTGGGGAAGGTGGCATCTCCGCTGCGCACCGGCACTCCTGTGGGCACAAGGAACAGCAGCCTGAGAGACACGACCACGAGGCACTTCCAGGGCAGGAACAGGTACCCACAGACCCCCATCCTCCTCGGCAGCCACAACTTCCCAGAACTCCTCCTGCAGCTGCAGCCGCGCGGCACACGCCCCCGGGGCGAGCGCAGGAAGTGGGTGGGGTGCGGGCGAGCTCGGACCCAGCAGAGAACTAGCGGCGATGGAGAGGCGCGGGTTTCTTTCTTTCTTTTCTTTCTTTTTTTCTTCTTCCTGTTTTGTTTGTTTTTTTTCTTTTTCTTTATTTCTGGGAGAAAAGCGCGCAGACTCCTCCTCCGAGTCTAATAGTCCTCCCTCAAACCCAGCTCAGCGCTCCAGCCTGGGAGAGCCAGACGGGGCTTCCTGGGTGCAGCTCCGGCCGGGGGAAGGGGAAGGGGAAGAAGCTCCGGGCAGATGCCGAGGCGCGGGCACGTCTCAGAGGTCTCTTCTTCCCGCAAACCGTTTCCACATGGCACTTCGGGGTGGCATAAGCACTTGGGTACCCGAAGGGGAGCGGAGGGTGGGTCCGATCCGGCTACGCAGAGCAGAGCAGAGCAGGCTGCAATCCCTCGGCGCCAGCCAGGGGAGATCCAGTACTTTCTTTGTAAGTTTCGGAGGCAGGATGGCCGGCGAGATGCGGTCGGTGACAATAGCGGATGCAATCGGAAAGTGGGGCACGCAGGAGGCAGCAGCGGGGGGTGTGCGAGGGGGAGCGGGCTGCGCAGGGACCGGGCTCCGGACTGAGATGCTGCCGCAGCCGCCCGCCCGCCCGCCCGCCCGCCCGGGTCAACTTCCTCGGAGCCGAAATCGGAGCAGCAGCTGCTGCTGCGATGGAGCAGGTCTCGGTGGAGGCAGTGGCCCTGGCGGTCCAGGCAGGAGCGGCCAGGAGGCAGCGGACCAGAGACCAGACCTCGGCGGCCCCCCGATCGCTCGCTCCCTCGATCGCTGGGGAAAGCGAGGCGCAGCCGGCACCGGAGCCGCGCGCGGACGCCACGCTCAGCGGCCGCCCCCGGCCTCCGCGCCGCCTTCTTCCTCCTCCCGGGAGCAGCCCCAAAGCGCACGGGCCCCGACCGCCGGGGTTGTCATGGCAGCAGCTCCATCACTGACCGCCACTTTCTCGGATGCCGGCGCCACGCAAGCGGGCGGACTGCGCGCTCATCCCGGCGGGCGGGCGGGCGGCGCGGGGCGCGGGCGGGCGCCCACCTTAACCCCCGCCGCGCCGCGCAGCCACCACCAGCAGCAGTGCGCCAGCAGAGGCGAGCTGTTTAACCATCTCCCAGCCTTGAAAAAAAAACCTGTCACTTCCCCCGAATGAAGAAGGCAAAGTTGCCACAGGCCTCTGTTTGCATAAGCAGAGACATCTGGATCAGGGTCACCAACTCAGGAAGCAGGACAGGAAAACCCTGCAGCATGCATACGGGCGCCTTTAAAATGATTGCATTCATGGCATTAGCATGTAAGGTACATTTGGAGTTTGGGGAGGATGTTTTAGAGGAATCTCGTTTTTAGTCAATAGTCCACGCCCATCTCCCCAGCCCCCACCCCCAGCCCCCAAAGAGAAAAAGCTAGTTTAAAATACCACAGTCAACACCACCTCTCTAAATAAAGATCTTCCGTCTACAGAACAAACGCAGGATCGCAGAAGCCTCAGCATGTCTGAAGCTGGCAAAAATCGCATCAGAATCTTGCTCAAGTCCTGACACTGACTTACATTCCTCATTCTGGTGGTATCCGCATTCGTAGATGCTGGGCCTGCAAAAGTGCCCCCGCGGGAGGGAGCGGGAGCTTCTTCCCTTAGGCTTGCAGGGGCTCCCCAGTTTCCTGGGCTCCCACTCGCAGAGATGATTTCACTCAGAGGGGTGTGTTTCTCACATTTTTGAAACCTGGGAGAAAACTGGTTTCTTCTCAGTTTACACCAGGTCCCTTCTCTGGATGCTGCAGGTCCCTGGGTACCTACATTGTTATTTCTCTCTTCAGTTCAGCTCTGATGGGATGTGGTGCTTGCTCCTTCCTGGGCCTGTCTCCTGAGTAGGAGAGAAGCCGGAGCAGCCCAGCCTGCCATCAGGGTTAGCTCTGCCACAGGGTCTTGTCCCACATTCCACATCCCAGCTCCCTGCCCTGACTCATATTCTACCTGGAGATGGAGAGGCAGCAATTGTAGCTTTCCCCCCTCCACTTTCTATCAAATCCAACCAGGAAGCTTTTTTAAATACAGAATAACTGTTCAGTAACAGAAAAATATTGTTTCACAAGAGCCATCTGGCCAACACAAGAGAGACAGAATCATTGCAACTACAAGGGTCTGAACCGTAAGAGTCCTTGCACCTTGTAAGTAGTAGCCACCACGTTCATGTCAGCCATGTGTGTGTTGGCGAGGGGGGGGGGGCACAGCACTTCCCCCACCATATCCCCCTCACCCTGATTGCTTTAGGGTGAGGTCAGGTCTGCAGGCATGGCTGCCAAACTCCAGGGTAGCAAAGCAAGACTGAGCAGGCTGGCTTTTCTCTCTGAACTGTTGACCAAAGAGTGCAATGTTGAGCAACTTCACGCTGAAGATCACAATTGATCTATCATTAGACCCATTTCTCCTACTGTCCTCTGGTGACTTTCTGATATTAAATTTTCAGGGAAACCCATCTGCTGTGTTTCACTCCCTGGGACCATTTGATCTATCATCTAAAAATCAATTGTCAACTTGCAGCCACAAGGAAAGACTTTACTACTTGGTGGGGAGGAGGTGGGGATGGATAATGGAGAGCAGGAGAGATTCCTTTATAGTTTTTAAAGAAAAGGATGATAATTCCCCTGTTTTAGCATCAGTTCCTTCCTGCAAGTCCCTATTTCATCGCTATTCTACAATGGGAAATTGTGGAAATAGGAAATTGAATGCTTTCACCAAGTGCAGATATTCCGTGATAACAGAATAAGGTGTGAGATTATGTTTGCTGACTTTCAGTTTGCTGAATTGGGGGTTCTTCCTTCTCGAAAACCCAAGGAGTCACCTGGAATCATCCATCCATTTTAACCACCCCTATCCCTCCCAGCCAAACCCTCTTTGTAAAAGCATCCTTGCTGCCTCCCCTGGACAAAAGGCCAGCCCTGAGGGAGGGGGACTCCTTGCATCTTTGGAGCCATTTCCCTGCAGGCTGGAGGAGGGCAGCAATGCTTCCTTTCCTGATAAATTCTCCCCCTGGCTCTTGCATCTGATTCCCAGGTAGGTACAAATGAGCATTCATTTTTGCATCTAGGAATGTGGATAATGACAACAACAGGCCTTCCCGAGGGACCTACATACATGATTAACTCTACAGTAAAATACTTAGAAATCTATTCAAGGTGGAAGATACTCTATTAATGCATTTTGCCTGCTACCGGTTCATTATTATGGCTGGGCAGAACAAAATAATTCTTCTCACAGGCTACTTAAGATGTTCCGTTTATACCAGCCTGCATGCACTTGATCTGAGCCAGGCAGACAGACCATCTCTGGCTCTGGCCCTGGAGGGTCAGTGCTGAGCTGTGGCCTCCCAGCACTGGCAGAAAGGAGGCCCGCCCAGCTCACATGAGGCTCGAGATGAGCAAAGGAAAGCCCCTCACAACCTCATACCTGCTCTCTGAACCCTGGGATCCAAACTTTATTCAAAAATGGAAGTTTAGAAAGTGGGGAGAGGCCCCCACAATTAATCAGGAAGAATCCATTCCTTTCAAACTCCTTAGGGAAGTGGTTCGAAGAGATGAAGATCCAAATCGTATGTCAACTCCTTGCCCAGCCCCTAATCCCTAAATAGAACCAACATTTAGCGGCTTATCTTCTATCCTGTCTCTTGCTTCATGAAACTGCAGGATTTGCTTTATTTCCCCAGCATATCCGAGTTAATGAAAAAAGGATGACAGTCAGAGCCATTTCATTATTTGTGCTCTTGATAAGAAACAACTTCCTCCTGGAAAGCAGATTCCTAAGGAGCACCCACCTCCACCTTCTTCCCCATCGTCTCCCCGTCCTCCTCCCCTTCCCGCTTACATGCACCCATACTGTACACATAAATCAACTTGTCACAGCTTGTCTCCGTGCTGACAGTCGTAATTGCTTCAGGTTATAAAAATATCTACAGGACAATGCCTTTCCAGCACACGCACCGCACACACGCACATGCACACGCACACCCTGAGTGAGCAAAAGAAAACAATCATAGTCCCTTTAACAATCCCATGACCGCAAGGCAGGGGTGAGTGGGTGCTAGCCTGCTGACAGGTGGGGAAACAGGTACACGGAAGGGTTCTGGCAGACAGAAGCATCTACGCACGCACTAAGGTGGGGTTGGAACTGAAGGATTCCAGCGAAAGGGAAATCAGCTGCTGTTTTTGTTTTACTCTACTACCTACAGCAAGCCTGAGTCAGTGGCAGAGCTGTGAATATGCCACCCAGGAGCACTCGCTTCAGAAATGCCAGCTCCTCTCCTTCTCTAAAAAGGCGAAAGGCCCCCCTCTCCTGGCGGAGATTCCAAATTGGAGCGCAGGCCAGAAGATGATGAATGCAGGGTGGTCAGAGCGACCTGGCACCCAATGCCAGTGGATATTGGAAGCTGTCATCAGAAAAGGCGGGGCTGATCTGGGCAAACATTCTCCAGAGGAGCAGGGCAGGGCTGGACGCTGGGAAAACTACTCGCCATTCTTCCTCTTGGGTGACTACAGGGTCAAGATGAAATGGTTCAGCTGGGCTGGCATCTAGCATCTCCCTAGAGATGTAAACTCCACAGAGAAAAAGAGGTCACCCATAGAGAAAATGGAGGAGGAGAGAAAGACATGGCAACGGTCAGACTACCTATGGATTCCGAAAGCCATGAAACCTCCTAAGAGATATCTAAAGTGCAGCCAGCGGCCTGTGGACCTAAGGATCCCTGGTTCCATTCAGGTCAAGGGCATGTGCCTGGATTGCCGGCTCAGTCCCCAGCCAGAGGCAGCCAAACAATGATTTCTTACTCATCACTGATGTTTCTCTCTCCCTCTCCTTCCTCTCTGAAATCAATAAAAATATACTTTTAAAAAAGAAGAAAGTTAGAGATACTGAGATGGAAGGCATTGCCCTCAACTTGCTTGTAGTATGGTGCTGTTGGGCTTGTGGGTGGTTTTATTTGCATAGGCATTCGGGATTGAAGTGACACTGAGCTCAAGTCCAGGCTCCCTGTAAGCCCTTGAGAACACTTACCGCTGAGAACAAGCTGAGACGGGCCTACTCTTTGGAACAGATTGTCCCATTACGGTTGTCCTGAGAGCCAGACTCTGACCCTGGCGGTCTGAGATCATGTAGAATGGCTTTAGGAGGGGAAAGGATGCTCTCAAGGATTTACAAATATAAGGAAGAAATGCATGGACGCATGGACACAGGAAACAATTGTTTTTTGACCCTGGATGCTGGCTGGGCCCTGGGTGGTGGGTTGAAGCTGTGGAGGAGAGAGGCTTAACCTGAGGAAGCACACTTTGGAGCCAGAGAGGCGTTTTCAAGCCAGTTAACTGCCACGCGTCCAAAAGGGAAAGCATCCCCACAAGCCACGATGTTTTGAATTTAATTTAAAACAATCAATTTGCGCCGAAATCAGTTTGGCTCAGTGGATAGAACGTCAGTCTGCGGACTAAAAGGTCCCAGGTTTGATTCTGGTCAATGGCATGTACCTTGGTTGCGGGCACATCCCCAGTAGGGGATGTGCAGGAGGTATCTGGTCGATGTTTCCAACTCTCTACCCCTCTCCTTTCCTCTCTGTAAAACATCAATAAAATATATATTTTTAAAAATAAATAAATTAATTAATTAATTAAAAAGTAATTTGCAATAAGTATTCTAACAATAAATATATTACTCCCAATTCGGATGTTCTTGAATATTTTCCATTAACAATTCTCACAAAAAATGATTTTAAAGTTGGTCAGGGCTGCCACTTAGGGAGACATTTTTTTAATTCTTCCAAAGGACATTTTAAATTCTTTTTACATAGCACATACACAGTTTAAAAAAAAAAAAAGTAGTATTTACACTTAGTTATTATTTTTTAAAAATAAAATTGTCTCATGGTACAAAAGTCTTTGGTTCCTTTTTTGCTGTTTTGTGCCAATCCTAGTAGAAGCATATACTAAACACTATTTCCATATAGATTTTTTTTTTCCCAATCGGCAGATAATCCCCCCAAAAATGTAGTTCATATACTCTGGATGGCATGTGGGTGGCATAATGTTTTCTTTTCTCAGGTCATAATAATTTATGTGTTTGAATTAATTGCCTGATTACCTGTAACTGGAAATCACCAAGTGTAATATTGCTTTTTTTTTTTTTTTTTTTGGCTATAGACACTCCTGGCAGGTGGGGAAGGCCCAGCACTTGCATCTATAGATGCTTATGGCATACAAAGGGTTAAGGGGGAATTTTACAAAAGAGTGGCA